CCCCTCTCCCCTCTCCTCTCGCCCTCCCCTCACCATCCACCTTCCCGTCTATCTCATCTCCCTCCTTCCCTATTTCTTCTACCTTCTTCTCCCTCCCACTTTTCCTCTTCCCTCCCTCCTTACGCTCTCCTTCCCTCCCTCCTTCCTCGCTCCTTCCTTTCTTCCTTCCCTCCTCCCTTACCCTCCCTCACTCCAGCATTTATCCTGGTCGAGTCAGTAATCATTAAGAATTTGTAAGATTCCTGGAATTTTTTAGGTTCAGAGAGAAAATTACATGTCTCTCTCTCTCACACACACACACACACACACACACACACACACACACACACACACACACACACACACACACACACACACACACACACACACACACAAATTACAAGTTCCAGGCAAGATGTACTGTTCAATTCCATCCCATTCGCCTTCCTCGATTTTCAATTACCTTACATAAGACATAATTATACGAGCTGGCTAAATATCTGATTAGACACTCGAGATTATACACCTATAACTATGTCTACTAATTTATTGTGTTCTATTAACCTATATCTGTATGTGTGTTTGTAATAAGATTCGATTTACGTTTCATGGTTCAATTTACGTTGTGTGTTCGTTTTACGTTCTGAGTCGAATCAATTTACGTCTCAGGGGGTTCAATTTACGTTCCATTGGTGTTCGTTTTACGTTCTGGTGATTCGATTTACGTTCCAGCACAACAAACATGGGATTAACAACCCTGTTTATCTAAATTATTTTGGGTGTATAAACATAGTAACGTGTTTGTTGTTTTGTCTTCAGTGATTGTTTGTGTTGATCAGTACAGTAACACTAATAATAATGATAACAATATAATATTACTACTACTACTACTACTAATAATAATAATAATAATAATAATAATAATAATAGTAGTAATAAAGCAAAGACAGAGACAGAGAACGTGAGAGAGAAGGGAGAATGGGAAGGAGAGGTAGAGGAAGAGAGAGAGAGAGAGAGAGAGAGAGAGAGAGAGAGAGAGAGAGAGAGAGAGAGAGAGAGAGAGACTTAATTCTTAATAGTCAGTTACATGCTATCATTTGTTGTACTCAGGGAGGAGATAGACAGAGATAAATTAGAGACAGGGGGAAAATAGAGAGATAGTGAGAGAGATGAGTAGATGGAGAAAGAGAGGGATAAAGAGAAAGATTAAGTGAGAGGGGAAGAGAAAGGGAGAATAAGAGAAAAAAATATATATATACAGAGAAAGAGAAACAAAAAAAAATGAGATATAAATGAATGGATAGAATGAGAGAAAGAGAGAGAGAGAGAGAGAAACATGGAGAAATAGAGATAGAAAAAGAAAAAGAGAGATAGAGTGAGATAAGGAGAGAAATAAAGAAAGAGAATTATACCGAGAGAGAAAGAGATATAGAAAGAGAGAAAGAGAGCGAGAGAAATAGGGAAGATAAAAAGAGCAAAAGAGAGAGGTTAGAGTTAGAGAAAGCTAGCAAGAGCGAAAGATAGAGAGAGAAGAGAGAGATAAAGAGAAAGAGAGCAAAATATAGATAGAAAGGGAGAGAGAGAGAGAGAGAAGTGAGCGCAACGAAGCAAGTTTCCTGAGTGTGTGTTGATAATACTTGCCCAAGTTGGGATAAGTTCTGTTCTGTGATACGATGGAACTTATGGTGTCAAGACCCCTCCAGGTGTAGAGTATTGTCAGCTTAGTGGAGAGAGAGAGAGGCAGTGACAGAGGGGGGTAAGAGCAAAGGCAGTAAGGAGAGATAGAGATAGTGAGAGAGGGTGAGAGAGAGAGCAGGTGAGAGAGAGAGAGAGGGGGGCAGTGGACAGAGGGTAAGTAAGAGCAAAGGCAGTAAGGAGATAGTGAGAGAGAGGTATGAGAGAGAGAGCAGGAGAGAGAGAGAGAGAAACAGTGAGAGAGAGAGAGGGGGGGTGACAGAGGGTAAGTAAGAGCAAAGGTAAGGGAGAGATAGAGATAGTGAGAGAGTGTGGAGAGAGAGAGCAGGAGAGAGAGAGAGGGGGGCAGTGACAGAGGGTAAGTAAGAGCAAAGGCAGTAAGGGAGAGATAGTGAGAGAGAGGCGTGAGAGAGAGAGACAGATGAGAGAGAGAGAGAGAGAACAGTGAGAGAGAGAGAGAGGGGGGGGCAGTGACAGAGGGTAAGTAAGAGCAAAGGCAGGAGAGATAGTGAGAGGAGAGTGTGAGAGAGAGAGCAGGTGGAGAGAGAGAGAGAACAGTGACAGAGAGAGAGAGAGTGTGAAAGAGAGAGATAGGCTGTTGGGAGAGAGAAAGAGGGAGAGAGAGAGAGAGAGAGAGAGAGAGAGACATACACTACAGGGAGGTCTTAAATCCCATCAAAGGACTCACTATATCCAGATTAAAGACCTTGCCAGTCTCTCCTCTTTAAAAGGGTCTTAGGGAGACTTAACTAAGAACATATGCAAATTAAAGTCTTCCTTACAACCACATAACTAGGTTTATTATCAGATGTAAGAGTGCCAAGAA